CTATTTTTATGCATATTTTTATTATTATGTTATTATATTGTTATAAGTATGTATATTGCACATAAATCACATAATACTCAGATCATTCTTCTTCATTACCTCAAAATACGTTACGATTGTTGATGCTAACCATTAAATCTTTATAATAACGCTTATACTAGAAAAGTGGGTGTTACACATCATATCATGATACCTTACCTTCTTCATCTCCTCGTCTGTTTCATACTATGGAACCATAAAGTCCTCTCCCGGAACTAGGTAGTGATCTCTGCCACAGTCTCAGTCGCCTGGCGAAGGTCTTGAAAGTCCCTCGCCAATTGTTGCACCTCAATACCCAGTTAAAACTCTGCCCTAAACCGGGTCACAAACTCATCCCAAGTCATCGTCTCTAGGGCTTCGCCTCCCAGAGAGAAGTCTACCTCCTCCTACCAATCTTGAGCTCTGTCTTTCAAAAGACAGGAAGCAAATCTGACCTTCGACCCCTCGGGGCATAAACTTGTCCAGAAAGTGTTTACCATATCCGCTAACCATCTCCTACCAGCAATGGGATCCTTTTCCCACAAAGAACTCGGGAGCTCCATAAGAACGAAACTCTCGGAAAGAAAGAATGCGAGCTCCCATAATAGCCATAACCTCAGTACAGAATGTGCCCAGGTGCTCATCCAGAATCTCCATAGTCCCCTCCTTGATTGTTCCAATGATCACAGGAGTCTGCTCCAAGATACCGCAGGTAATCTCCGACGAGATGAACTCCCGCATCTGTTCATCAATCGGCTTGGTACCTGCACCAGAGCCTGAACCAGAACCGGAACCTCCTCCATGTGTGCTCATCACCATTCTGTAAAACAATGATACATATTATTAGAACATACCCAAGAATCCTCATCCTATATGCTTCCTAGATTCTCCGTGACTCTCCTCAATTCGAGTAGGGATCTTATGCTTTCAGTAGTATGGGCCCAATACTAGCTTCCACACATGTCCATACTTTCCTAAAGAATTATCCTGAATCCTTCAGGTCACCTTCTCAAATTGGTACTCTAATTACTCCGTAAACACCACATCCAAGCCCACTAAGGAACTTCCTAGGCTCTCCTAGCTTCCCAACCTCACCCTGCCATCAGTTGTTGAAGAACTCCCACTAATGTCAGCTAACTACTTCATGATTACAATCACATACCATAAAGCTTAGATAATCCTTCAAGTAAAAGACTCAACCCTACAATGGTTAAACTTAAACGCGAGTTGTGCAATAAAGTCAAATCCATCAATCTGGGATTATTTAAACTTTGCAACATGTGACTTAACATATTCACTTAAAGGTTAACTCACATCACTAAGAATTCCACAAAGCAAAAAGCAAGCAGCATTCGTGCAGTAACACTCCACTCCATAGAACAAAAAAGAACATCTAAATCTCACTTACTACCACCCATACTAGGAATTTCCACTCTCACCATTGGGTGCCTTATGCATGAAAAATATACACAATACATGATCAAGTAGACTGTCGAATAAAAGACTCTACCATAGGACCACAACCAAACAAGAAACATGAAATATGGCCAAATCAGTCATTCTAGGGCTATACGATCCTAATCATATACAATTTTTAAAGCATACACTTTGTTACCAATACATATTACCAATATAGAAAGGCATCCAATGCTGCCTAGGCTACAATGCATCTCATATTAGTCCAATCTATCATACAATTCCTGAAAGTATCCCTAGCCTTATCCTAGCATGCAAACATTCATATCATATAACATATAAACATGTATGGGTATTCTAGGAATCTCTTACTTGAGCTCGGCCAATTACACGCATCAAACCCCCTTTTTCTTTACAACATCCTTTAATTAGAAATTCATTTTCTTTTAAAAAGATTACCAATTCCTTAGTTTGAGTTTAGTCACACTCAAGAGTGTGCCCAAATCCCTTAAAACCAAGACTCTGATACCAACTTGTAATGACCCAAAAACTATAAGGTAAAAAAAATCATTTTTAGTTTAACCAGAAACACCAAATATCTTTTTCCAAACATTCAAAAGTGTATCATAATAAAATAGTTATCAGTGTATAATCCCAAAAACATCAAGTTGCATAAACATAGGTGGATGTGTTACGATCAATTCGGGCCCTTCCCTCTCGAACCAGAAGTACCTGAAACCATAAACATAAAATCTGTAAGCACAAAGCTTAGTGAGTTCCCCAAATACCACATACCATACATATCAGTGGGCCTAGCCCACTAATTGGGCCCAACCCACCATAATGGGCCTAACCTTTATACAATGGACCCAACCCTACATAACATGTAAGATTCACAGAGACAGCTAGCATCCTACTTAACATACATTGGACCTAGCCCTTCCAGATCCATGGGTCCAACCCAAAATATAAATGGGCCTAGCCCAACATACCATGCAAGAGTCAAAAAGACAACTAGCATACTAGATCCTAGTAGGCAGACATTGGTGCATTCAACCAACAGGTACAGTGAGGAGACTCACTCGATTCGAGATAACCAAGATATATGCGTTGCTACTACTGGAAACCTCATAGTGATCATAACCAAATATCTTAATCATTAATTAAGGTCAATTCCCAAAATCCAAGGTCCAATTCCATATCCTATTCTTTCAATGGGTAAAAGACCATTTTAACCTTCCCCTATCTAGTCCAACCCATGGCCCAACCTCCAAAAGTCCCAAGGCCTAAAAGGCCCAAAATAGACTTTTTGAGAGTACGCCCCGCGTACTAGAAGCGTACGCCCCACATACTACCCGCTGATGCACACTATACAAGTCCTCAAAGCTGAAAATGTGGGATCCATGCATTACATTGAGCATATGCCTATGTGCACCAAACGTACTCATCATGGGGGCAAACCTCAAAATAAGCTCTTAATTGTTAAGACCAAAATGTCCAAACATAGATCTGACTCTTAAGGGTTGTCTTAAGTCAAAAAGTTCTTGACTTTATAACTTTGCATGCCTTAATAGGGTCCAAACCATAATCCAAGCTTCCTAATTTCATTAAAAGGGAATCAATTCTTGCATAAGAGGATAATACTCCTCAAGATCCAAACTTTATGACTTAAAGATCTCAACAAGGACCAAAAATGAGGCTCAAAGGTTCTGGAGCAACTTTTACTCACAAGAACCACGGTTATGGGACCAAAACATGACAAATTACCAACCAAACTATATCTACAAGAAAAGCCATCAAGCTAGAGACTTTATACCTTCAGAAGATAGCTCAAGAAGAACAATGTCTGGATCTACAAGCTCTAAGGAAATCAACACTTCTCTAAAGTGTTCATCTTCCAAAAGCACCAAGATTTCTCTAAAAGCACACACATGTTCAAGATTCTTTCAAATGAGGGATAGAGTTTCATATATAGGGTTTAACGAGATGAAGATTGAAGTTAAGAGGGTTTGGAGATAAGTTAAGGCCATTAAATAGGGTCTACGACCCTAAATTAGGGTTTGCACCTAACTGGAGTGTGTCCAACATAATCCTAGTATGCCCAGCGTAATCCAAGGGTTGTCCGCGATCACCCATCCATGTACACATGACGTACTCCCTGTATGCCTAGCATACTAGGCTTAGCCCTAAAACCACCAAACCTCTAAAGGCCATAACTTTTTCATTCTAGGTTTGATTTCAATGATCCTTATATCCACGAAAAGGTAATGAGAAGCTCTATAATCATATCAACTCTCCTTTACCTTAAAACTCTCCAAACGTAAATCCAAATTTTATAAAAGGCCCAAACTATCACTTTACATTTATACCTCGAGGATCCAAAGCACAAACCGAACTCTCAGATCCTCTAATCTACATTATATACATCCAAAGGGGTCTAATTCTCTCTTCCCCCAAGGTCCAAAGCCTTATGATGACTGATCTTTGGGTCACAACCCCGATTTAGGAAACGATTCCAAACAGGGTGCTACAAGTGTCTTGGACACAAAATTGAGAATTTGGATCAACTGAATCTACTTGAGAAAAGGAAATTATTTTCTATTGTGTACAACAAAAATTGGATTTTGCTCAACTTTTTCTTGATCAAGTGATCGATTACATTACTGGGAACAAGAAGCCAGGATATGTTCCCTTTCCTTGATGGATTGGACTAATCTTATCTCGTGAGGAAGGATATGTTGAAAGTCATGTGATTATTATTCCAGTTCCTATCCTTTCCTCAAAGATTATTAATGTCGCTCCATCTGAAAGTGACTTGCTTATTAGTGAAAAGATACAAAGGTGGATTGAAAAACCTTATGTGGTTGAATCCTATGACTTTGAAGAAGAGAATGATGAGAATAATGAAAGGGCTGATGAAGATGAAGACGTTAAGATTGAAGTAGATAAAACTGTCGCCAATGTAGAAGACTTTGTTTAGGGAATGGACCCTCCTCCAAGGATAAACAAGCACATTCGATTTTCCTCCACTTCTTCATCCACTCATCTACAAATGATGTTGCATAACATGGATGAATACCATCTTTTGTGATAACTGCTGAGCCATTGATCCAAGATGAGGTCTCTCTAATATCAGTGTTTCCTTCTCCTCAAGCTGAAAATGTTCCTCCAATGCCAACACTTATTCTGACTGCTACTATTTATCAGGGGGAATCTAGCTTCAACTTTGAAACAACTGTACTTTCTCAACTTTATATGTTGATGCAGATAACTTAATCTATGTGAAGAAGATTATCTAAAGTTAAAAAATATGTTGCTGAGATGAAGCGATTTATAACATTAGGTGATGATGATGTTGATGCTATGGTTATTAACGACACACCACAAAACTCTCTAGGTGATAACTATCCTCCACCTTCACCTGCACCACCATCATCAAATCCTCTTCCACCACCTCCTCCTCTATCTCATTCTCATCATCACACTCCATCACCACCTTCTGGTTCCTATCCTCAATCTGATGCTGCAAAAAGGGGGCGAATAATCAAGGGTTTCCTGATCAGCAAATGCAAATGCTGGTAATTGCACCAACTTCATCTCATCCTGAGATGCTTGAATCTTGAAGAGTTGAAGTTGACTTTCAAAAAGATATTGTTGTTGCTGACATTCCAAACGCTAATGCAACAACTAATAGTCAGACCATTCCAGACACTAGTGATCAATCAGAGACCGATCACTATGATGGGTTTCTTGATCTTGGATTCATGTCATAAGTTGTTGTTCATGATGTTCCTTTAAATGTTGTTTACTCTGCTTCTTACTTTGAGGGGGAGATTCCTCAAGGAACTAACAGTGACATTAAGTCTGATAATGATTAGCTCAATCCTCAAAAGAAGAAGGCTTTCTTCTCAGGGAGAGCTCGTGATGCTGAAGCTGGAAGTTCTGCTGTTGGTGATCCTTCTGCATCTCTTCCTTCCAAGATGAGAAAACTCATATTTGATCTGAATGAATTGGCCAAAATATGGGATATACCTATCTATGAATTAAGAGAGATCGTGATAGATAATAATATTGTTATTCGACAAAAGAAAGAAGCTACAAAAGGAGAACATACGTCTGCCAAACTTGCTCAAGCTCTTGCTTCCGTTGATGGAAGTGTTGATGTTCAACGAATTATTAAGCCAAGAAAATTCATCTCTTATAATATTGTGAATAAACAACACATGGTTTCAGACCTGAATGATCGGAATGACAAATAGAAGTTTGGAGATGTTCTGATTCAAAGAACAAAGCCTGATCCTATTATCAGGGTGACATGTACTAAACCAAGGAATGAGTCTCTAAAGCTTCACTTGGTCGGGAAGAAGAATAATTGTGAATACAATGAGGTTGTATGTGTTCGTGAGCTAGTTAAATATAAAAAAAAGTGGATGAAAATTCAAGAAATTAGTGACAAACACAAGGGTATTCATGCATAGGAAGCGAGGTTGGCGATTCAGCAGCTACTAAACAAAGTCAAGAAGTTGAACCTTGTGCCAACAGCTGGTCCATCTAGAACATCATCCTCAAGAAGAACAGGTGCTCCCAGACAGTCTAAGAGTACAAAGTTTCTTATTCCTTATGGTAATAAGTACATAAACATTGAAATTCCTGTAGGTTTTGGACCAGTTCAGTACATGTTTATTCAAGAACCAGAGAATGGTGTCTTCTATCTTGGCAGTCAAAATCACATGTGCTTTCAACGTATTGATGATCTTCCTTATACTCCCACTGAACATTTGTTTCTGCTTCGCTTGGAAGGAATTAGTCACTTTGAACTGGAAAGAGGATATTGTGTACATGTATCGATGGGTTATGAGCACTACATCATTCCTATGGTGTACATGCAACCCTAATACTTTGGATCTAGTTTTTTTCTCAAATTATACATGCAATACAAGTTATCCAAAGCACAAATGTAACACCCAAAAATTTCAAGCCAATTTAAAAAATTTTCAAAACATTTAAAATCAACATTTGTTACAGATTCGTTTTCGAAATACTCTATTTCAAAGTTTTTCCCAGAACCATAAACAAAACATGAGGAGTTGTACGATCATGACTTCACCTTGCTGTGATCCCCTGATGTACCTGAAACAATAAAATGAAACTGCAAGCCCGATAGATTAGTTCGTTCCCCCCGAAATACCCATACTTCGACAATACACCAATAATCCTAAACAACATATTATGGGTCCAGTCAACCATCGGGTTGGAATACCGCAGGCCCACAACCAATAGGTTGGAATGTCAACATACTATGGGTCCAATCATCCTCGGGATGCAATACCCCAGGCCCACAACCAATAGGTTGGAATGCCCAGGTCTATTGGTCTCCACACAAAGCAGATAAGCCTCAACCGCCAAACATACATGTGCACATATATATATATATATATATATATATAATAGATAGTTACCTAATGGTCTATAGACAACAACTGATCTAACAGATCATACCACATAGCACATAATACCATCCTATCTACCAAGATACCGATCTAACAGATCATACCACATACTACATAATATTATCCTACCCTCTAGGATACCGATTTAACAGATCATACTAGCATAACATAACCAAATAACAATCCAAAGGGCCAGCCTTGGTGCCTTAGACCCTTGAGTATAGTGAGGAAAACTCACCTCGCAAGTTGTGCTGAAGTACTGCAAATCTCTGACTGTTGTCTCACCGGGAATCCCAAACTATCACACAATAAATACTAAGTTAATACCCATCTTGAACTTCTGGACTAAATGTCCCCACCATGCTCACAAATTCCCAAAATGCCCCAGAAGTCCAATAGTCCACCCTTGGTTAAAGTCAAAGTCAACTATCAAGGTCAATAGTTCATGTTGACCTCAACTTGTCGAGTACCCTCAGCTACTCGCCGAGTTCCTTGCATAACTCGTCAACTCACCGAATCATTATAGTGACTCGTCGTGTTCCTAAGATTTGCGGCCATAATCTCCTTGGCCAACTCGTTGAGTTCCCTTGCAACATGCTAAGTCCATACGCATCCAAAGGTTGGGAAAACCCTAGCTGACTCGTCGAGCCACTCAACTGGCTCGCCGAGCCCACGACAATCTTCATCAGACTCGCCGAATTGACCATGCGACTCACCGAGTCCCTTCAGTCCTTCATCTATACATGTGCTTTTTAAGTCATTCTAAGGCTCCAAATTGTAGATCCAGCTTCCTAAGGCATGTTTATCACGTAAAGTTGCAAACTTTACGTGCATGCAAAACTCTAAAGTCTTAAAATGACAAAAGTAAGCTTGTAAAGAAGTCTCACACTTAAGGTAAGGTTCATGCTTGAAAAAGCTAACAACTTTATCGACTTAGAGACCAAAAATAGCTCATATCTGAAGTTGCAACTTCATATCTTAGCTGAAACTTAAGAAAAGCTTCCAAAAATCCACCCAAATGAGATCTAAGATTAAATGAGGCCAAGATAAGAGCTTAATACCTTCAAAAGGGTGCCTACTTAAGTAGATCTCTGATTCCCACGAGTTCCTTGCTTCTAATCCCTTGTTCCCCAAGCTTTTCTCACTAAAATCCTTCTTCAAAGCTTAAACACACCAATGTAGAATACACACACGAATTAGGGTTTAGAATGACAATAGGCTGTAAAGGGGAGGTTGAGCGCCAGCGATAGAGGTTCCTTCATCAATCGACTCTTGAATATCTTCAAGATCAATTTGCCTCCCACTTTCTCCTTGGCTTATGAGTTCTCACTCTCGGAAAACCCCTCTCCTCGCAATGAAGACAACATTGTCACTCGGTCTTTAGAAGAGATATCCAAAGGATTTATGCGGGTAGCCGATGAAAATACATCGCTCACTACGAGGTTCGAGCTTGTCGTGAGTCTCTCGTCTTACGAAAGCCTCGCAGTCCCAAACCTTGATATGTGCCAATGAGGGAGCTTTCCCTGTCCACATCTCGTAAGGTGTGTTGGCAACCTTCTTTGTAGGGACTCCGTTAAGGATATGGGTGATAGTCTCTAAGCATACCCCCAAAATAAGATAGGTAGTGAAGCATGACTCATCATGGAACGAACCATGTCCAACAGGGTTCGATTATGCCCTTCTGCCACACCATTCAACTGTGGTGTCCTAGGTGGCATCAATTGCGAAACTATTCCGCATTCCTTGAGATAGTCATGGAGTTCAAGACTTAGGTACTCTCCTCCTCGATCGGATCGAAGCATCCTGATTTTCCTGCCCAATTGATTCTCCACTTCATGTTTGAATTCTTTGAACTTTTCAAACGTTTCTGACTTGTGCTTGATTAAGTAAATATACCCATATCTACTATAATCATCGGTGAAAGTCACATAGAAGCAGTTTGCATCCTTTGTGGTGGATCTAAAGGGCCCACACTCCTCTCACAAGTGCCAGTGAAGGGTGACTTGGTCATCTTTCCAAGTAAACAAGACTCGCATGTGTCATCTTTCCTAAGGTCGAATAGCTCCAACACTCTATCCTTTTGGAGCTGGGCTATGCGCTTCTTGTTGACATGTCCAAGACGACAATGCCATAAGCATGCTTTATCCATACTATTGGAAGAATCCATACACAATACATCATATCCTAGGTTATCTACAACCATGACAGTTTCATAAATTCCATAAGGAAATGCTTCAAAATATAAAACACCATTTAGATAAGCATAAATCGCCATTCTCATTATTAAACGAATATCTAAATCCTTGTTTAAACAAACCATGAAATGAAACGATGTTTCTTGCCATATCTGGCGAGTAGCAACAATTATTTAAATCTAAACCTAATTTATTACTAAGCACTAGAGGATACACTCCAATCTTGGTGACAGGCGACGATCTTCTGTTCCCCATGATTAGATTTATTCTTCCACGCTCCACATCCCTATTTCTTCTTAGTCCCTGCAAATCAGAACATATGTGATAACCACATCCTGTATCAAGAACCCAAGAAATAACATGTGATGAATCATTAGATTTAATTGTGTAAATCCCTGTGAAAGATGGCTTGATCTTCCCATCCTTGATGACTTGCAGATATTCCAAGCAGCTTCTCTTCCAATGCCCTATTTTGTGGCAGTGGTGGCACTCTACCTCCTTTGGGTTTGAGTTGGGCTTAGCAGGACCAACCTTGGTCCCACTAGAAGAGGAACCATCTTGGGACTTTCCCTTGTGGTGGCTCTTTGAAGTAGCCATCCTCTTCTTGCCCCTTCCTTGTCCAATAGCCAAAACAGGAGTAGCGGGTGGAGTGGGAGTTAATGCAACAGACTTGTCCTTGAGGTTGCTCTCAGCAGTCCTTAGGAGCCCTTGGAGTTTACTTAGTGTGATCTCTTCCTTGTTCATTTGGTAGGTCATCCTAAATTGGTTGTAGCACAACGTAAAAGAGTGAAGAACGATATCGATTGCCAAATCCTCCCCAAAGTTAACATTTAACTTGTGAAGACGATCAACATACCTTTGCATCTTTTGCAAGTGCACGGTTAGAGACTCTCCACTTCCCATCTTAGCAGTGATCATGTTCGTGATGATCTCATAGAGATCTTGCCTTGCGCTTTGCTGATATCTCTCCATCAAGTCTTGATGCATTTCGTATGGATACATGTTGTCATAGGACTTTTGGAGTTCAGGATTCATTGTGGCTAGCATAATGCAATGAACTTTCGTTGCATCACGCTCACGGGTCACAAAGACAGCCATTTCTTTGGGAGTAGCGATTTCCGGATTGATCTTTTCAAGCTTCTAGTCAAGGACATACTCTTTGTCCTCATATCGAGCAATCGTGCGAATGTATCTTATGCATTCGCTAAAGTTCGATCCATCAAATGTCACCTTTTGACATAGGCTCATTAGCGAGAATGAGGTAGCAGTAGCGTTGTTTGCGTTAGACATCTACAAATAGAAAGGAAAAAAGTTTGATTAGAATTAAATCCCTAATTAAACACCCAAAATGAAAAATTAGGGCTAGGACCCAACAACATTATTTACACATTAGAAAGAGATGTCGTAATCCAATATGCAAATAATTTGGAGATAAGTGAATGACGATTCACTAATTCTTCACCATGAAAAACATAAAGGCTTAAGTTTTAAATGTATTGAGAATTCCTAGATTTCCTTTGAGATTCATTAAACTTTTCAATGGCATGTTTAAATCTCGATATGCCCCTCTCGTTTGTGACTAGGATGTCGAGGATCACAAAGTGGGTGTGAATA